AATATATTCAAAAAATCTCGGAAGAACTAGAACTATTCTTTAAAGATAACAAAAAACAGCATACCTCATTGCAAAATCTATGGGACACGATGAAGGCATATTTGAGAGGAATAACGATAGCCTATACGGCAAAAAGAAATAAAGAAAAATGGGGGAATCACAACAGATTAATAGGGGAGATAAAGAGATTAGAAGACAAATTACAAAAAGGCCCCGGGGAAAGAACAAGCTAGAAACAATCCTGCCCTAACAAAACACAAATTGAATATTTTAGAGCAAGAAGAATTGGCAAGGGATTTAAAATATACAAAACAAAATTACTTTGTACATGCAAACAAACCTGGTAGATGGTTGGCCTACAAATTAAAAAAAGAGAATGAGAGAAGAATCATACATCAACTATTAAATAAGAATGGAATTGAGAAAACCAATATGGAGAAGAAAAAAGAAATTGCAAGAGAATTTTTTGAAAATCTCTACAGCCAGGAAGATAGAAATAGGAAAAATAGATGAATATTTGAAAGGATAAATGCCCCACCCACTATTAGAAGAAAAAAGGGAATTCTTAAACAAGGAAATAACACTTATTGAATTAAAGGAAGCAATTAAAAGACAAAAAATCAATAAAACCCCAGGGTCGGATGGCCTACCAGGATAACTCTACAAAAATATAGGAGAATCAGTAGAAAGTGTATTCATGGAAGTTTGCAATGAGGTATTGCTAAAAGCAAAGCTACCAGATTCGTGGAAGGAGGCCTTTATTACATTAATTCCAAAAGAAGGTCCAGATGCTAGGCAAATTAAAAACTACAGACCAATATCCCTCCTAAATGCTTACAAAATCTTCATGAGTATAATGGCAGATAGGTTGAAGAAAATATTAAATGATAGAATACATCCCAACCAAAATGGTTTCCACCCAACATGACAAATTAGAAACAACACTAGAACAATAAATAACATTAGAATATTATGAAGGGCATCCAGGAAGCCAAGTAGCTCTTGTCTTCTCAGATGCACAAAAAGATTTTGATAATGTTAATTGGGAGTTTATGATACAACAGATTAAATTGATGAAATTTGGAGAAAGATTTGAGAAAATGATAGAAATGATCTACTCTATCCAAAAGGCTAAGGTAAATGGAGAAATGACAAAACCATTTGAAATAATGAAAGGCATTAGGCAGGGATGTCCACTGTCACCTCTTCTTTTCATCCTGACATTAGAAACACTACTGAGAAGAATTAGATTAAATAAGGAAATAAAAAGAACACAAATCAAAAAGGAAGAATACAAACTACAGGCCTTTGCTGATGACATGGTAGTTGTTATTGAAGACCCACTAGAATCTGGCCTGATATTATTGCAGGAAATAGGGAAATTTGGCAAAGTAGCAGACCTCAAAATTAATAAAGATAAAACCAAAATGCTAGTTAAAAACCTGACAGTAAAAGACAAAAGGGAATTAGAAGAAGCAATGGGTCTCCAAATTGTTTAAAAAAAAAAATATTTAGGTATTTGGTTAACTGCAAGAAGATCAGCCTTAAAAAAAGATAATTATATAAAATGATACAGCAAATAAGAAATGACCTGGAAAAATGGAGGAAATCACAGATCTCATTCTTAGGGAAAATAGCTACAATTAAAATGAATATCCTACCTAAATTGTTATATTTGCTCCAAACTATTCCAATAAAATTAGATTAAAAAAATTTCAAAGAGCTAAACAAAATAACTATTAAATTTATATGGTCAGGGAAAAAAGTACAAATAAAATCAATTTATCTACAGGATAGTAAAAGCAGAGGTGGCTTTGGACTCTCAGTATGGGAGACCTACTACAAAGCAGCATCTTTAGTATGGATTAAAGATTGGATTAAATTAGAAAACAAGAGAATCTTAATATTAGAAGGACATGATATGCAAATAGGGTGGCATGCCTTCATATGGGACCCCAGGAATAAGAATCACTCCTACTTTTATAGACATGTCTTGTGAGATTCACTGATAAACACTTGGGAGGAAATCAGGAAGAAACACTATACCAAAATTCCAGGCTGGCTGTCCACTATGGAGGCAATGATCCACCCAAATATCAGTAAAAAACTTTTGGATAATAAAGGAAAGACTCACAACAACTCAAGAATTAAAAACACAAGGAATATTTATAGATTGGTGGCCGTACCTTTAAGCGCAGATGAGATATAAAAAATTCAGCTTTGAAACAAAAACAATCCAATTAGATAAAATATTGTTAGGACCAGAAGAAAAAATAATATCTAAAATATACAAATATTTGCTAAATTTTGATTTAGAAGATGAAATCATTAAAGGACCAATGTTGGCCTGGGCAAAAAACTTTGGACATAATATTGAATTGGATGACTGGGAAAACGTTTGGCAAAAAAACTTTTTCATGACAAAATCGGTTGCTTACAAAGAAAATTTATATAAAATGCTCTATCGATGGCACTTAGTACCATCAAGGCTTGCAAAAATTTACCCCAAATTGTTGGAAATGTAAGAAAACACAAGGCACCTTTTTTCACGTCTGGTGGCTATGCCCAGAAATTAAGAAATATTGGATTAAGATGCAAACATGGCTAGAGGAAATGACCCACTGCAGGTTGGAGTCAAAGCCGGAATTATTTATCCTGGGAATCATTAAAGAGAAATATCCCCAAAAGATTCGATATTTGATTATCGAATTGCGCAAGCTCAGACCTGGAAGATGTCTACCACTCCGTCAAATGACATAATTCGCAAAATTTTGGATTGTGCGAAGATGGATAGACTCACATTGAAATTAAAGGACAAAGAGGACTCAGAATACTACTTAATCTGGAATACCTGGTATCAATGGTTAGACAGTAAAACATGATAAAGAAAGGTCAAAAAAGGAAATAAAATTGGTATATAGGTAGGAAAAAGGAGAAGTTGTAGAAAAGGAGGAACTGTTAGAAAAATGGAGACAATTAAATATCTATGTCGGATTCATAAATTCCAATGTGGAAATATGTATATTGAACAATTAAAAATGTGTACTCCATTTCCCCCCATGCTTACAGAATGTTAAAATGTAATACATAGATTATAATTACTCCTGACTTTATATATGTGTGTGTGTGTGTGTGTGTGTGTGTGTGTGTGTGTATACACACATACATACACACACACAGTATTAACATGATACTCCTTTTCATACTTGAATTATTGACCTATAAAGATGAAATATTTTTGTTTATTAATAGTAGCAAAGCACTGTGAATTAATACCACTAATACAATAAATAACTGTCAAATATTATGTGTATCTACGACATTTATGGTACTGCCAAGTGATGTTGAAAGATATTGACATAATTTCTTCTACAGAAACTTTTGTAAATCTTTTTAATATTTTGTAAATTTTTTAATATCTTGAATTTCAATAAAGAATATTTTTAATTAAAAAAAGAAAAAGAAATGAAATAAATTAAAGAAGCTAACCCAAAGGAACATACTGTATAGATTTCCACTCTATGTCTGACCGTGACCAACAGAATGATACTAAGTAATTTGATTGAAGCTAGTTTTAAGAACTGATAACAAACTGAAATTTATAAAAATGATTTAAAATTTTATTAAAAACTAATTTTCCAGGCTAGGCAATCAAAAATAAGAAAATATGAATAAATAAATTAACAGAAGAGCAGTGCATGATAAAGTGATAACTATTATAACAGTTTGCAATATTCAGCCAACATTTCCTGCTCACAGAATCAGAGCCTTTTTTTTTTTTTTAACTTTAGGCCTATTTATAACTTTAAACCAGCAAGTGAGTAACTATTTGCTGGTGGGTCCTTGGTGCTCTTTGAACTTGCTTATTTTTTTGTAGACATTTCATTACCCTTAGCTAGGTAGCATCATCAATGCTAGTGAGAAGTGCTGTTTGCTTTGTTTATATTCTCATGGCATGTCTGTGTGCGTGGAGATTCTTTGGTTGGGCTATTTACTGATGGCTCTTTGACAGTTTCTTTATTGAAGTATTACTTACTTGATTGTTAGTCTGAAGTTGATCTTGGAGATAATCCATGCTGGTTTGAGTGCTGATTACTGGTGGAAAGGTATTTGACTTTTTTTCTTATTTGGGCTGCTTAATTATCTCTTTTGCATAGTCTATAAATGTTAATGTCTTATGTATCTATTAATGGCTGATTTGTCAGAGTGCTAGGCTTCTAGAAATTCCCTGGCATTTTTGGACTTAGCCTGGTCTAGGATTGTCACATTTTCCCAATTGAAACTATGGTTAAACTATGGTCAACAATTTGTTGAGATAATAGCACCAGGGCTGACCAAGTGCAAAAGAAATAAGTATTTTGCAATACTCTTGTGCACATATATCAATACAATTGTAACTTGTTCTTAGAACTGCAATGAAAATTATTCTGCAAGAATGTAAGCTAAGACCTAGTGAAAAGCCAAAGTTAAAACATATCGGATTTTATATTCAAATAATTCTTATGACTAGGCAGCTGCAGCACTAATCTCTTGCTGAATTTATCCTAACAAAGAGTCTTACTGCCCCCCTTCTTTTGATGTATCTTGCTTCAGTCTCCACTTCAATTCCTTTTCCTCACAAATGTTGAAGCACCACTGGACATCACCCTGGACTAACCTCTTCTCCTCTCATCTTTTCACAATTCTGGAAGGAGCCATAACTACCTTGAAATTTGTCTTTTTGTAATCAATAATGCTGTTTTCCTCATAAAAGCTCTAGCCTCATCTGTTACTCCTATTGAGGTAAGATGTTTCCATCATCCAAATTAGAGGTGAAGAATCTGCAGCTCCTTATTAATGAACTGCCTCATATTCTGACTAGAAAGAAAAGGCTCAGAACACCTAAAATCATATAAATCCCAGGAAGGATTTGAAGAAATTTGAGGAAAAGAAATAGCAAATGGTTGAATCACTGATTATCGTGTTTCTAAAGAAAAAAAGTAAAAACATATTGGACTTACCTGCCAAAATGATTTTCGAAATATATATAAATCCATCTCAAATGCAGCTGTAAATATTATGATTGGTGTAAATAAATGAAGAAAAAGTATCGGATCTATATTTGCGATAACTTTCACAAAAGGCAACTGACAATAAAAATGAGTAAAAGATATTGTAAGAATTAGTAAAAGATAATGTAAGATTTGTTATATACTAGCTTCAAATATTGATTGAATGAATAATCTGCAGATTGATTCATTAAGAGTAACTTTGTGTTATAAAAATTGGGGGGGGGGGGGGGAATTGATAATGAAAAATGTGCCTTGGCAGAATATGGAGCTGGGCTCAGGAAACCATACTATTTGCAATTTTTAAAAGTATTTTTTAAAACTCAGTCCTAAATTATAGCATATTTCTAATGTTATTAAAAACATGATAGGATTCTGGTGCTTCCCAATAATTCTTCCCATTTGGAAGCATATTTTTACTACTTGTTGGGAACTCAAATTATGTTCAAAGTATTTCAGATGGTCATCTATATGCCAGGCAGACTGCAGATATTCTGAATAAAATTTTATTCATGTTAAGACATAGAATTTACATTTTCACAATGAATAATGGCATGCTCTGTGTCATGTTTTATTATGTTTATTATGTTGTAAGCCACTCAAGTCACCTCAAATATAGCATATAAATTTAATAAAATAAATATTGTGCTTATCTCTTATGGAACTGTTTTATCTCCCAAGGTGCGGGGGGGGGGGGGGTTAAGAAAGGTAGTTACAGAGTTAATTTTTTGTTATTCTTTGTCATTTTATTCCTTTTAACTTGTCAGAAAGGTAAATATAATTTGTGTAATCCTCTTCTTTCTCATATGCTAGGTTAGAGGAAACTCAAGGCAAGGTGCCTCCCTGGAAGATAAGTTGGTGACAAGAGTAACTTCAAGCCACTATACCAATTAGGAGGCAGAATTGTAAAGTGTATTGAACCAGGCAATATTTGGGACAGGAGGTTTAAGACCACTCACCTTTCACCACCTATATACACCACATCATTATCATTGTCATTCTAAATCCTATGTATCTGCTGTTAATAACAAAGAATTTACTTTTGGCAAGAGGCCAGACTAGCCCAGATAACTGTTCTTTCTTCTTGTGTCTTCAGTGTTACAATGTTACAACACATGTAGAAGAATCACCCAAGTGCGAGGAATGCCGAGACATTCTATTTTAAAAGTAACAGTTATCTTGAAAAAATATATTTTCCATTATTTCTGCTGAAGTGGAAATACTTTCCAATATTCAAAGTACCATGGCTAGAAGCACAAATTCTACTTAAGCTCAAGCCAGATAAGGATTTTGGAAGGCATTGTGGTTCATTTTTATTATATATAAACAGTAACATTATAAATTGGGGGGGGGGGGTTGATATAGGTAGTGCAGACTTTTTTTTTAAAGGTATCCAGTATCCTAACCCATATTTACATATGTTTTATTTATTGTTGAATTTAGATGTTGCAGTATAACATTAAATAATCTATGAAATTTATAAGTGGAACAAAGAAGAAAATAGAAGATGCAATGTATTGTTGCTAGAATTAAAATATTTATTAGAATAATATTTCATTTAAAAAATCAAACTGAAGCCACTTAAGGTAGTTTCTCTCTCCCTCTGTTAGGAGTGGAAATAAGCCATTTGAATAGAGCATAACAGGCATGTTCTTTTCTCACAGAAATTGTTTTCTTGCAAACAATTCTTTTAACAGCACCTTGGACAGCATCCATTTGACTTCTGTCCATCCCAACAAGAATTTAGTATGTCTGATCAAATGCCTCAAATTGGCAAATTAAAATGATATACCCATCCTGTAATTTTTGGGCTCACAGGATCCAGAGTAGGTTTTAATTTATTCATTGCAGATTCCTGGGCATTTCTGTTTAGACTCTAAAGGAGGACTGGGAGGGAGGGACCATTAGTGGAGAAGTGAAATTGTTATAGAGGTAAAGTCTGCTTGCATTGATTCCTCTATATGATTTAATAAACCTTGTTCTGTTTTGTTCACCATACGACACTAGCCCTATGTATATTGCTAAAGCCAAAACATATACATCTTACATATAAGTAATTTAGAATAATGATAAAATAGCTCACTATTATTCCACAAACTATACCACATAAAAAGCTGCATTATATATTAATTCAGAGTTGATAGCTAGTACATAGGAAACTGGATAAATAGAAAGGGTTTCAACAGTACTGACCTTTAAGTTGGGGAAGGTACCCTTATTTATCAGTCACTAAAGCCTCCTTCCCCATCAACACACATATTTCCTAATATATTACTATCCTCCAGAATCCATTAAGCTCAATATATTCATGTAAACTTTAGCAATTAATATTACTAAGACTGAAGAACATGTGTTATGAATTCTAAGACAAGTATTAGTGTAGGAGAGGGGGTGACTGAACACTTGCTTCACTGTAGCTTTTTATAAGCTTGCTATGTTCTTCTGGAACTTGGGGAAATTACCATGCCAATATTAGGAAATCAAATCTTCTCCAAAGATTAACAGGAATAAGTGACAGATAAGATGATAAAGATGTACTATTCATTCTATGTCCTAATATTTTTAAATAAATCCTATTATCCCAGGGTATATTTTTCATCAGATGAGAAATCATTTTCCCACTTATCCCAATATAATCAATTATTTAAATCTAAAGTTTCTATAATAAATGGAATTCAATAAACTTAACCAATCCTACTACACTTGGTTTCTTTAAATCAACTTCATTAAAACAATGTTGAGACAGGTCTATGTCTTAAATTCATTGAACCCACAGATTCTAGAACAATGGATTCACAGGAATAGTTTCCAATATCTTCTGGGAGTAGGAACCTATTTGTTAGGAGTCTGAATTTCCTTTGTCCTTTTGCCATCCCAACCTAATATAGATTAATCTCCAATGCCTATTTATAAACTGTAATAAGATATATTCCCTGGCTCTCTATATACTACTATCTTAATACTGTACCTTTTGTGAAAAATGGGCTACTATTCCAAGAATAAGTCCAACCAGGAATATAATTACAAGAATAGGGATTTTTGTTTCCTTCAAAATAGTTCGTAATAAGGCTGAAAGAAAATATTACCATTAAACATGTAATTTTGTGCTGAATCTTAAGGCAGTATCTATGTTTTAAATGAGTATAGCATTTTTGAATCAGCAATAATTCATATGCAACATTCAAATACATTTTAAGCTTTCTTAGCTAATTGAACTAACAAAGATGTAATTAGTGCAGTTAAACAATACCAAAGAAGCATTAATATAGTCTAAGCTGCAATGAAATGAAATAAAATAAGAACAAAAACAACAGCTTGGAAAAGTTTTTGCTTGGTGCTCAATGAATCAGAAAGTTTTATACAATAAAGATGCTATCAACAAGATATCTTGAGTATTTAGCCATTTCACCTCACATGGCATTGGAAACTACAGGTTAGAGTATCATGCAAAAGTTCATTTATTTCAGTAATGCAACTTAAAAGGTGAAACTAATATGAGATAGACTCATTATATGCAAAGCAAGATAGTTCAAGCCGTGATTTGTCATAATTGAGATGATTATGGCTTACAGCTCATGAAAACCCCACATCCACAATCTCAATTAGAATATTACATGCAATCAATAAAACAATGATTGTACATAGAACAATATCGGACCTCTGAAAAGTATAAGCATGCATATGTACTCAGTACTTGGTTTGGGCCCCTTTTGCAGCAATTACTGCCTCAATGCAGCATGGCATGGAAGCTATCAGCCTGTGGCACTGCTGAGGTGTTATGGAAGACCAGGATGCTTCAATAGCGGCCTTCAGCTCTTCTGCATTGTTCAGTCTCATGTCTCTCATCTTTCTCTTGGCAATGCCCCATAGATTCTCTATGGGGTTCAGGTCAGGCGAGTTTGCTGGGCAATCAAGCACAGTAATCCCACAGTCATTGAACCAGGTTTTGGTGCTTTTGGCAGTGTAGGCAGGTGCCAAGTCCTGTTGGAAAATGAAGTCAGTATCCCCATAAAGCTCATCTGTGGAAGGAAGCATGAAGTGCTCCAAAATCTCCTGGTAGATGGCTGCATTGACCCTGGACTTAATGAAGCACAGTGGACCAACACCAGCAGATGACATGGCTCCCCAAATCAACACAGACTGTGGAAACTTCACACCGGACTTCAAGCATCTTGCAGTGTGTGCCTCTCCATTCTTCCTCCAGACTCTGGGTCCTTGGTTTCCAAATGAGATGCAACAGTTGCTGTCATCAGAAAAGAGGACTTTGGACCACTGAGCAACAGACCAGTTCTGGTTGTTCAGGAGCGATTTGATAAGAGGAATACGACATTTGAAGCCCATGTCCAGGATCTGTCTGTGTGTGGTGGCTCTTGATGCACTGACTCCAGCCTCAGTCCACTCCTTGTGAAAGTCCCCAACACTTTTTAATGGCCTTTTCCTGACAATCCTCTCCAGGCTGCGGTCATCCCTGCTGCTTGTGCACCTTTTTCTTCCACACTTTTCCCTTCCACATAACTTTCTATTAATGTGCTTTGATACAGCACTTTGGGAACATCCAACTTCTTGTGCAATTACCTTTTGAGGCTTTCCCTCCTTATGGAGGGTGTCAATGATGGTTTTCTGCACAACTGTCAGGTCAGCAGTCTTTCCCATGATTGTGATTCCTACTGAACCAGACTGAGAGACCATTTAAAGGCTCAGGAACCCTTTGCAGGTGTTATGGCTTAATTAGCTGATTAGAGTGGGACACTTTGAACCTTTTCACAATATTCTAATTTTCTGAGATTGTGGATTTGGGGTTTTCGTGAGCTGTAAGCCATAATCATCTCAATTATGATACATCACGGCTTGAACTATCTTGCTTTGCATGTAATGAGTCTATCTCATATATTAGTTTCACCTTTTAAGTTGCATTACTAAAATAAATGAACTTTTGAACAATATTCTAATTTTTCGAGTTTCACCTGTAATCTGATGATCTGAATAGCATATAAAAAAATCAGTTACTTGGTTCCTGAATCAGGAAATATTTCTCTGAAATAGACCCCAAAAGAAACAGGGTGTATTGCAGTTGTTTAGTACAGGTATAACACCACAGGTTAATTTTATCTTCAGAAATATTACCACAGTCACAGAATCAATGTATAAGTTACATCTCTTATTTTTATGTTATAAAACCTCTATTTTTAAAAAAATCTAATTCATTTCTTTTTCTTACAGAATCAAGGCAGGACAGGAGATGAAGAAAAAATATTGTTCAAGTTGTAAGCAAACTGCATTTCTACTTAAAAAGCTAAACTACTGCTCTTATTTTATATTTGTGAATGAATAACTATATTTGAATACTAAAACATAACTAGCAAGCCTAGAAATAAAACAACCAAGAACTCTGAAATCTGTTCATGGCAAATAAAGAAAAAGCCTACTATGAATATTAAAAATTTCTCAGAAGTTTCTCAATACAGTAATAGCAGACAAGCAAAAATTTAAATTGACTTTTTTGAAAAATAAGTATGAAAGCAATATTTTTTCTATTTTGCCAAATTGTCCCCAATGGTCACATTATTATAATGCATATACAAGTAGTCTTTGATACGGCCATAATGAAGTCTGCCCATTACAGTCTATGTTGCGACAGCCATTGTGAAGCATCTCACTTAACAATCTCACCAATCCTGCTTTCCCCAATGTAATTAAATGAAAGTGCAGCTCATTAACGGGTGGAGGAAGCCTTTGTAGGCCTACCACAGGCCCATATATCGAACAGGCTCTCCACATATGGAAGCACCCTGCTTATTATAAACCTGGTTCACATTACGCATTACTTCATAAATTATAATTCATTCAGCATGCTAAAAGATTATCTTCACAGAATGTATTTACTCATTATACTAAGAAATGGATTATGGTTTGCTGTATAAAGCACAATAGATTCACCATACACATTATTTAACATATTATTTAACAGCCCATAAGGGCTGAATTCACACAATGAATCGTGAAATCCTGAAAGATAAGGTTAGGAACCGATCGTCATGGAAAATAATGTATCCATCTGGTCACAAAGAGTCAACATTGATCTGATGGCACATAATCACTCCATCAACTGTGCTGAAAGCCTGTTTTTAAAAAGGTTGTCTAGAAAATGAAGTCATCTGCTACATTAATTTTTAAAATAGCATGCTTATACACTGTAGCTGCAATCATTAGTAAACTATTTTCTATATTTTTATTAATTTTGCTGAAATATGGAACTACTGCAATTCTTCATGGAGAAAGTTGCATTTTATTTCTCTGCAAGTCAGCTCTTTACACTTTGCATGCTATCAAACTGAGTGACTGCAATTACACACAGTGGTTGTACTAACAGTCTACAAATATTATCCTAATTACATCTGAAGCTCCAAGTCCCAGTTTCATTGGTATAATGTACTACAAATAGAGATCTTTGAAAAACTGACATCCGAAAGGCCAGACCACTCTAATACTAAGTTTCAGTGTCCTAAGAACTGCTTTGTAAAATCATAATTTACAAAATTTAACATCAATTTTTACAGAAAGGCAATATAATTTGGTTGACAGTTGTGAAGAGATTATTCATGTATCACAAAAGCAAAATGTACATTAAACTGTTCCACTAAAGCAATAAATTGCTATATTAACCACAGCATTTATACTTCATCTTTCTTTCAAGTCATAAAAGACAGCACATGTGGTTCTCCCTACTTCTCTTTTGGTCATCCAAAGAGGTGGCGAAGGGAAGTTAATGATAAAATATGAATGATGGCATACCAGGACACAAGTACTGATGGCACTATATGAATGTCACCTTGTGCTAAGTGTCATTTTATTGCAATTTTCTGCAGACTTTACTAGCCCTTGCATTTATCATAACTATCCTAATTAATGCTAATGAATGACAGTGACTAATCCAAGACCCTATAGAGCAGCGGTCACCAACTGGTGGGCCGCGGACTACTGGTGGTCCCCAAGAAAATTTTGGTGGTCCGCAGTGCACCGAGGTAGAGGAGCTGCTCCGGGATGACCAATGGGACAGTCCTGTGACTAGAGCTCTGGAATATGGCACTGGCCAGGCAGCTCATGGTGGGGCTGCAAATCTCCGCCAGAGGGTTGTACGTGCAATATGCAACTTTGTAGGTGGTGTAACATGCAAGGAATAGTGTAGCCCTCACCGGTCGGAACGAGGTAATGGTGCTGTTGTAACAAGGGGGAGGCGGCGGCGCAGACGAGCCGAAGCAATGAGTGTCAGCAACCCGTGGCTCTTTCATCCCCCTGCTGTGGCTCTCTGTTGGCTGAGCCCACCAGTAGCTGGCCCCTCCCCTCCCCCTCTCCTCCCAGTCACTCCTTGCCTGGCCTGAGAAGGTAAGGGCAGGGGATGGAGACTTGCTCCATATTCCAGAATGAGAGTGAAGCGTCCCTGTACTTGCTTCATTCTTGCTGGGTCTCACAGGTGTTTCTTCTGCCCCTTTTTGGTGCTGCGCGCACCACTGGCCCAACTCGGAAGTTTCTCTCCACTGCTGCTGTTTGCGCCTCCATGGCCTGCCCACTGTTCTCGCAGCAACTTGAGCAGCACAGTTAAATTTAGTGAGCTTCACAATGGGGGAGACAGTGTCCCCTCCTCCTCCTGGAGCCCATTACAACGCAGAGCATCGGCTGCAGTCAGGTTGGGCATCTCGGGGTGGAGAGCAGGTCGTGGGTCTCCCCGAGCAACCAAGGTATGTCCAGCACCAACAAAGGGCGGAAGAAGCGCCCATGAAACCCAGAGAGCGCCGGAGAATCAGAATGAGAGAAAGAGGCAGAGACAGACAGAGAAAGAGACACACAGAGAGAGACAGAGAAAGAACAAGAGAGAGAGAGATGAGAAAGAGTGAGTGAGTGAAAGAGAGAGATAGAGATACCCGTTTCCCATAGAAAACACAAAACCTGGGTAGGCATGGCGGGGGGGTGTCATGTGACTGGGTGGGAGTGACGTCGAGTTGGCCATGCACACTCAAGTTTTGTGGCTCCCAGTATTTTGTTTTCTGTGGAAAACAGATTCAAATGGCTCTTTGAGTGTTTAAGTTGCAGAAACAGGCAGCCAAGCTAAGTGCCTGAAGGACCCCATCCCATCACTGGGAGTCCAGGTCCTTCAGCGAGCGGCGCACTGGATTCACATTAGTGTTCCTCGGGATTTAAAATTATGAATTTAATGGTTCCTGAGGTCCAAAAGGTTGGTGATCCCTGCTATAGAGGGCATAAATGGTCTATGATGGCAAAAAAAAATGTGATTGTAACATTTACAATTAGCAAATTTTATTAAAAGACATGTGAGACTAACACAATTCAGCCATGTGTCTCATGTGCAATCTGCATAACCCACCCACATTTAAATCCTACATAAATTCAGGCACTCTGAACTTCTAATGAAATGAGCTGCAGTTCACAAAAATGTATCCTTTAATAAAATGTTTTAGTTGGAAAAGATGCTACAGACACCTGATGTTTCAACCACTCCAAGGATACCCAGCTTAGTAGTAGTTTGAACATGGATATTCTCCCATTCCTCACACAACGTTTACCTTACTACTGACATTTAGGCAAAGAATATAAGGCAGGAGCAAAACAAGGGAGGAAAACCATTTTTTCTTCATTTTAAATTGTTAACAAACTGTATAACACAATATGGTAGTCACTGTTTGAAAATAAGAAATGAATCTACATGTTTATGAAGTAGATTATAAAGTTGAAGAAGACAATTCAGAGTACTTAAGCAGGAATGCAAAAAATAGGTATATTATGCAAACATCAGGAAAATTATGTGCATTCAAAAACACTTCCTTCAAAGGATTTGCACAGCCTTGATTAACAATCACAAAAGCTGCAGAGAAGCAGGAAGGGGGGGGGGGCTTATTTTCCTATATATTATACAGCAGGAATTTGTCTTCATACCAAAACAAGTTCTAAATCCAGACTGAAGGGAACCAAGATAATGCATTTCATCTGAGAGGTATTGAAGTTGTAACACCAGAGCTTTGCCCAGCAGCTTGACCCAACATGGAATCTAGAGAATAAAGTACAGCCCTCTGTGGAAGAGTCTGTGTCCTAAATGTGGTTTGAAACCAGTTTTTTTAATGATATTAAATTGCTATGTTTAATTGACAACTGTGTTATATAGCCATCTCTTTACTTTAATTCAATGCAGGTAGTCCTTGACTCACAACCATTCATTGAGTGACTGTTCAAAGTTACAATGGCAGTCAAAGAAGTGACAACTGTCACAGCAGTCACATGATCGTGTGACCAAAATTTGAGCACTTGGCAACCAGAATGTCTTTAAGATAGTTATAGCATCCTGGTCATGTGATCACTATTTGCTACCCTCCCAGCTGGCTTCTGACAAGCAATCATGGGGGAAGCCAGATTCACTTAACTGCAATGATTTGCTTAACAACCATGGCAAAAAAGATTGTAAAATTACTAAGCAAGGGGGTTATTAAGTTATGCCCAATCAAAATTCTAGTCTCATTTGGGCTCATAACTCAAGAACTACCTATATAGCCTACTCTAAGTGGCAGAAAATTCCACCTTCAAAACAGAAGCATTAACATCCAGGTATTCACAAGGTTATGAAACATTTTGTGTGACTATTAATGTGTTTTATTCATTGACCATTAAATATGGATTTTCCACTAACCATAACTAACCCATACTGTAACAATGTACATCCAAGCCGAAGTTTCAGTTATTGCTTTTTAGGATCCGGACGCCCAAGGCTATGTTTAAAGGATATTTCTGGGCGCTTCGTCAAGAGCCCAGAAAAGACCTCCGACTTCCTACCTCCGAAGGCGCAGCTCATACACATTACCAACAGAATTATCGGTCTGTCCTTATGGATGATGTGAAATTTGCCATGAAACTCCTCTTCCTCGTCGTTGCCGCCATCCTGCTGACTTTCATAGCGAGGAGAAATAACGTCTGCAAAAGCGCCGGTGACAGCAATGCTCAAGTTTAAGGAATTCATGCTACCATGTACTGCATATGCACTTCACACCCTCAACAAAGCGGGAGATTCATACGGCGGCACAGTTTGCCTTTCCCGCCAAATAAGGATTTCAGAAACCCGTAAGCCTCCCTATCATCACACGCTACACACTCCCTTTTCTCTCTGTCTCTTTCCTTCCACCCACCCCCCTCAGGTATCGGTTTTCAAGAGCCTCCTTCCAACAGGAGAACCGTTAGAGTGACGCGGGCGGAGGGGGGCTTTTCAAAACTGCGCGCGCCACACCGATGGGCGAGTTCGCGTTGCCACCAACGTTCCAAGAGGCAGGGAAAGGTCTCGGCGTCTCCTTGGAGCAAGCGCGACCGGCCGTTGGCATTCAAATTCGTCTGGTCTGCACCAGCACGTGGCTTGTTGGCTGAGAAGAGCCGGAAGGCGGGAGAACTCTTGCTCTAAGAAATAAATTGGCTTGCAAGGCTCAAAAGATATTTTCCGAGCCCTGTATTTACTGAAACGGGCTGCCGGCTGCCACTTTGTTAGCATTAAGTAGAAATATGTCTGTCAGCCCCACTTCTGGTATTTCGATGCTTTATAATAAAAAGTGGACCTAGTAATATATTTATTACCGAGTTTTCCCAGGAGTAGCGCTGTAGCAAATATATTTATTTTGCAAAAGATGGAAACTCTCGCTTAGATATTAAAAGTAGTTTCAAAGTGTTGGTACTTCTATTTAGAGAAATTGTATCCTATAGAGATCCAGCTCAATGGAGTGTATTTCAACATGTGTTGAAAAAAGTTACAGCTAAATAACAATTCATTACAATTTGCACAATTGTACAGATATTTCTATCAACTTTGTGCCAAAAAGCCCTTGATTGGTATACAAAATACCTCATATACAAAATTAAGATCTAAAATACACTGTTGGGTGACAAACTAAACACATTATAATATTGGTCACTTTACAACTTTTTCCCTTAGAAGTCTGCAGTTCCAGTGGTGAATCCCTGGAGAAAAAAATGTAAGATGAAAGATTCATTTGACTGGAACTCAGTGCCCTGTATTTAAGGGAAATCATTGAATACACTAGAGTACAAAAAAGAACAGGGATAATCTACCAGTTGTGAAGCTTTCCAGTCCTGAAGCTCATCCATTCCTTAAGACTTTCTAATTAATATTAACTGGATTTTTAATAGTTTCAAAATGTCTTTGATTTTTTCAGATATATGCTGATAAATGCCAAAATCATAAGCATGTCTACCTGTTTATAATCAATAGTGAACAATGCTGTATCTGACAGAGTTAATTATATCAAAGAAACCTATATCAGTTGGATTGTAGGAAACCAGGATTTGTAACAAAGTTTATTGTAGACTGCAAATCTTGGATTCTGGAAAGACAAAAATATGGGCATATGCAGTTTTGATAATACAGATCATAAATGTTGGTTAAAGTGTAACACACAAGTGAAAATGGCTAAATGTTAGCATATGAACACATATTAACCATATACAATATATGAACATAATCCCAAACTTTCCAGGGACTTCGTATAGAAGCAGTCTGGATAAAAAGACATTTAGTTTCGAGTTTGGAGGTGTTGGTATAAAGAAACACAATATATTCAATTTATGTCATGGAATTTACTATATTGTCTTTTTATTCTGATTAAATTCTAACATAAAATGATCTTCATAATTCTAGTCCTTTCCTTAAACCAAACATTTCATGTATGTATGTATGTATGTATGTATGTATGTGCAGGTTAACTATGTCACTTCTGAAATATTAGTATTGAGATTTAACTTGATTTTTAGAGTAGGATACAATTTAAGGATATGTGATATAAAAAGATTCCATTCAGCAATTTAAAATTGCAGAAATAAAAAAAATAGTCTGTCATATAAATGCAAAGTTCTAATTCAGTAATAGATCCTATTATAGTCTGAAGCATGAATAAAATTTAAGGGCTTTCTATGCAGCAGTGGTCATTTCAATTGAGTTATGATGATGCTTTTAAACATAATATATATAATAAATACAAAAGACAATAAACACAAAAGACCAGCTTAAATTTTAGCATTAAAATTCATAGCTGAAACTTTTAAAGTAGTTTATCTTCTGATTGTTTAACATATAAATTCATAGTGCCTCGTATTAGCAAAGTACCATTAGAATCATGGGAAGAAAAATAACTAAAGATGATCTATGCATACATTTCTACACTTCTCCCAGCATGTTTCAAGCCCACTTCCTTTACAGAATTTTTATTTAAGTGCACTACTTATTGGATTAATTAATAATACAGACTCCCATCTCTAAAGTACACCTTCTAGATGTAGAGCTGTACTACGACTTACAACCATTTGTTTAATGACTGTGTGAAATTAAAACGGTACTGAAATAAGTAACTTATGACCGTTGCAGCATCCCCATGGTCATATGATTCAAATTTGGATGCTTGGCAACTGGCATGTATTTATGACAGTTGTAGTATCTTCGGTCATGTGATCATCTTTTGCAACCTTCTGACAAGCAAAGTCAATGGAAAAGCCAAATTCACTTAATAACCATGTTAATAATTTAACAACTGCAGTGGTTCTCTCAATAATTATGGCAAGAAAGGTCAGGAAATGAGGCAAAATTCACCAGTCTTGCTTCACAACAAAAAAATTGGCTCAGTTGTTGTCATAACTCAAGGACTACCTATTTTGTTTATCATGCTTCTCTCTCAACCAAATTGAGCTTGTTTTTTAGAGACTAGTTTCATTCATCAGATTTTCCTAATGGTTTATGACCTAGTAAATACATGCCTAAAACCATTATAGCAATAGCACTTAGACTTATATACCACTTTAAAAACCACAGTTTATCCACATACAGACAGGAGGTTGTAAAACTTGCCTCGTGGTGTAACAGGAACACTCTGGAACTGAACACACTCAAAACCATAAAAATGGTGGTAGACTTTAGAAGAAACCCTCCCATACTACCACCTCTTACAATTCTAGACAACACAGTATCAACAGTAGAGACCTTCAAATTTTTAGGTTCTATTATATCACATGACCTAAAATGGACACCTAACATCAAAAACATCATCAAAAAACACTACAAAGAATGTTCTTTCTGTGCCAACTCAGAAAGCTCAAACTGCCCAAGGAGTTGTTGATACAGTCCTACAGAGGAATTATTGAGTCTATCACCTCTATAACTGTCTGGTTTGGTTCTGCAACCCAACAGGACAGACACAAACTCCAGAGAGTAATTAGGACTGCAGAAAAAACAATTACTACCAACCTGCCTTCATTCAAGGACCTGTATACTGCACGAGTCAAAAAGAGGGCTGTGAAAATATTTACAGACTCCTCACATCCCGGACATAAACTGTTTCAACTCCTACCCTCAAAACGATGCTATAGAGCACTTCACACAGAACAACTAGACACAAGAACATTTTTTTCCCCAAAGCCATCACTCTGCTAAACAAATAATTCCTTCAACACTGTCCAACTATTTACAAAGTCTGCACTACTATTACTATTAATCTCATCATTCCTTATCACCCATCCCCTCCCACTTGTGACTGTATGACTGTAACTTTGTAGCTTGTATCTTTACGATCTATATTGACTGTTTCCTAGTATGATTTGATTGCTTATTGTACCCTACGACTATTATTAAGTGTTGTACCTTATGATTCTTGACTCTTGACAAATGTATCTTTTGTTTTATGTATACTGAGAGCATTTGCACCAAGACAAATTCCTTATGTGTCCAATCACACTTGGCCAATAAAGAATTCTATCTTCTATCTATCTATCTTACTGTAGTGTGTTACATAAATCCAATTGAAAATTATTCAGTAAACCATAGTTAAAGAAATATTGGTTTAGAGCAGTATCTGAATTAGATCAAAAATGGGAACATTAGAATAAACTGGAAAAACAAATGATTCAAAATAACAAGCGGTCTTAAGCATATAAGCTATATCCATAGCGATCCATACTGAAATAGGCAATCATTATGATGAATTATTCTTTTCAGGATTTTTTCAGGCCTGCCACAAAAGAACATCCACAGTCGAACCCAAAAACGATTTAGCTTTGCTTTAGATTTCCAATATTGAATAAGGAATTGGAATAATATGCTCTCTCTCTTAATATGTCCTTTTCCCTTTTTAGTCTATAGTTGTGAGACATAAAAATCAATTCAGTATTGGAGGGTTGGGAATCAAGTCACTGTTAAGACCTTTCATAGGTATAATTGTCCATTTGAAGTATTCTACCGGTGATGAAACTGAACAGGGTACAACAACGATATATTGTTAGATTACTGACACTGAACAAAGTACTTTTATAGTAGCTGAAATCAGATGTGTGGCTAGGAAAAGAAAACAGACACTTCTTCAGTAAGTATTTTAATATTTACCTCAGTTTGACTCACTGTAAGGTAAAAAGTAAATTATTCAGATCTGAGGCTACTCATGTCCTCTTCCCACTCCATTAGACAGGATTGGATAATAAGAAAACATAGCAAAGGCTTTGGAAATACTAGGAAAATGAGTGTTCTGTTATTACCATCCATTTTCATGTTTTTCCATCATTTTCCTGTTCTGATTAAAAAGATTTCAATTGTTCTCACAAATGTGACAAAATGAACAAAGATAAAAGAGCTCTGTAATTAGTATAAATATAAATGATATATGGAATAAATACTATATAATAAAAAATAAAATACATCCAGGACATTAGAAGACTGTAAATGGCAGGGCCACAGCATCTTAGCATCATGTCTTATCCCCAAAATACCTTGACTAAAATCCCTAAATGGATACACAATAATGAGTTGAAATAAAAGTGCCAGGAAATCTCAGTAATATGACTGAAGGAGCTTCAAAGAGTTTCAGAGAACAAAAATTTATAATGCCTATTACACCATTATGTTTCAGCATATAAGTGCTTGAGTAATCAAGATTTTGTGATCTCTAGGACTTCCCCAGGTTTTTGAACAGTCACACTAAT